AAAAAAACGTAATTACAGAATATTTACAAGGTGTCTCCATGCTGGGATATGTCACATTTCCCATTCTCTGATTTCACCTGTGGGAGGCGCTGATTTCCAAAAGGCAGTAGCATGTGATTCCACTAGCTACCAGAAGGTGCCTCTTCTTTGCACCCTCGCCTTTATTCTATACCAAGGCCCGTTTACTGTTCTTCAGACTTGAGGGGGGTGGGAGCAGTGGGAGGAGATAAGTCCCTGGCATTAGTGGACATAAATTCATCATTGGTTTGAATGGAAGGAATTGTTGGAATCAATGGGAAGAATAGTGTCCCATCATTGGTTTGAATGGAAGGAATTGTTGATATCAATGGGAAGAATAGTGCCCCATCATTGGTTTGAATGGAAGGAATGTTGGTATCAATGGGAAGAATAGTGCCCCATCATTGGTTTGAATGGAAGGAATTGTTGGTATCAATGGGAAGAATAGTGCCCCATCATTGGTTTGAATGGAAGGAATTGTTGGTATCAATGGGAAGAATAGTGCCCCATCATTGGTTTGAATGGAAGGAATTGTTGGTATCAATGGGAAGAATAGTGCCCCATCATTGGTTTGAATGGAAGGAATTGTTGAATCAATGGGAAGAATAGTGTCCCATCCATTGGTTTGAATGGAAGGAATTGTTGGTATCAATGGGAAGAATAGTGCCCCATCATTGGTTTGAATGGAAGGAATTGTTGGTATCAATGGGAAGAATAGTGCCCCATCATTGGTTTGAATGGAAGGAATTGTTGGAATCAATGGGAAGAATAGTGCCCCATCATTGGTTTGAATGGAAGGAATTGTTGGTATAAATGGGAAGAATAGTGCCCCATCATTGGTTTGAATGGAAGGAATTGTTGGTATCAATGGGAAGAATAGTGTCCCATCATTGGTTTGAATGGAAGGAATTGTTGGTATCAATGGGAAGAATAGTGCCCCATCATTGGTTTGAATGGAAGGAATTGTTGGTATCAATGGGAAGAATAGTGTCCCATCATTGGTTTGAATGGAAGGAATTGTTGGTATCAATGGGAAGAATAGTGCCCCATCATTGGTTTGAATGGAAGGAATTGTTGGTATCAATGGGAAGAATAGTGCCCCATCATTGGTTTGAATGGAAGGAATTGTTGGTATCAATGGGAAGAATAGTGCCCCATCATTGGTTTGAATGGAAGGAATTGTTGGTATCAATGGGAAGAATAATGCCCTGTCATTGGTTTGATTCACAAAGCGCAGTGCTACTCAAGCATGCACAATAAGCACCTGGCTGAAGCCGGGTGAAGCCGCAAGCTGTCAGGTGCCCACACTTAAGATGCCGACTCTGGGAACACAGGGCGGATAATGGAATAGGCTGCTGGGGGGGGGGGGGGGGCACCGCGAGACCGAGGGATAGGTGAGTGTCCATTTTTTTAAAAGTCAGCAGCTACAAAAACTGTACATTTTCTTTTATTATTATTTTCACTGGAACTCTGCTGTAAGGACTTCCTTCCTGAAGACTGATGACCAAAACTGCGAACTAAAGGTAAAATTTCTTCACTCCATTCCCCATTGTGGGAAATTGATGGGGGACCTACTCCAGTACAGGCTGATCAGCTGCACCCTTTCAGTGTAGGGCCAGGGGGTTTGTTTTGGGGCCCTTATGTTACCGGCAGTCCCCTTCCTGTACTGGAGTGGGTCCTAGCTCCATACATTTTCCACACTGGAGCATACTAACAGAATTGGATGTAAGTGGATAAGGGTCCCCGTACGGTTCTGCACAGCCAGGAAACACAAATTTCCACACAGACTTTGCATTGAGGAGTCAGTAACCAGTCCTTGAACTTGTTTTGAAGTTTTACTACGGGGAATTTCAACTTAGATGGGGTTAGGGGTGTACAGGATGCCCAATGGAACTAAGAAACCGAGGACAGCTTCCTGAACTATGTACACATCTTTACACACAGATCCTCTTCTGGTAGAGCAAGCCAGCATCTCTGGTAGTACCACCCCAGAAGCTCCTCAATCTGGCTGCCTGGAGGAATACCTGGAGAATAGGGATCCAGAGTCTGCAGCTCTAAGACACAGTCCGGCTGGGGGCTAGTTCAGTTTCCCACCCAAATGCCCTTTCCCCTACTCCAGTCCAGAGGGTGTAGAAGTACTTGCTTAGCCATTCTCCTCTGCTGCGGATGGGTAGATGGCTTCTACCAGGCCTTCAAGCTGGCAGCTCCTTCCCTGCTGCCTGGTAGTCCTCTCTCAGGGGGCCAGTGAAGTTCCAAGCTTTCCTCCTGTCTGCAACCCTCCGGAAGGCAGGCCCCATCCCTGGGCCTCCTCCCAGTCTCCTGCACTTCAGCCTCACTTCTTCCACCCAAACTCTCCTCCAACTCCCCTCCTCCAGCTTAGCATGCTCAGATGCTCCTAAAGGTTGTCCCAGCCTCTTTCCAAGTCTCCTGTTGGGGATTGGCTACGATCCTTTAAGTGTACTGAACAGCCACTCCTCAAACCCACCCACTGCTTCTAGATCTTTCTCCAAAAATCCAGAACAGGGGGAAATTCCAGAGAACTGTTCTGCAGAGTCTCTCAGCTCTGACCAAAATTTGACCCATCTGGCTATCACACCCAGGCTGCTACTCAGCCTCTAGCTACCAATTATATTCTGGCTCCCCCTAGCTAACTAGGAGGGCACTACAAACACTTGAAATGATGCCTTTCTAACAGTACAATGCAGACCTGTTATAATACATGTAGCGCTACCCCCGCAGGAGCCTCTGATGTTTACTAGTTCTTTCCCACACAGCACTGATCGATAGGCAATGTCTTGGTCCTAGTCAACGGAGAAAAGACTGATAGATGGTTTTGAAAAGAAAGTAGAAAAATCATGTGGGTTCAACACTTGGAACATGCAACCCAGATCTGTTATAGTACACGTAGCACCACCCCCCCAGGAGCCTCTGATGTTTACTAGTTCTTTCCCACACAGCACTGATCTATAGGCAATGTCATGGTCCCAGTCAATGGAGAAAGATTGATAATTGGTTTAGAAAAGAAAGTAGAAAAATCATGTGGGTTCAACACTTGGAACATGCAACCCAGATCTGTTTTAGTACATGTAGCTCTACCCCCTCAGGAGCCTCTGATGTTAACTGGTTCTTTCCCAAACAGTAAAGAAGCCATCAGTCACCTCTACAACAGCCCATGTAGTCCAGTAAACAGTCTGGGTGTTGACTTTTTGAGCTTTATTGCTGTTAAACCTGAACAGAAGGAAGGGGTGCAAGGGTGGTATGGGATACTCCAGGAACACTGAATCAGGAGGACATACTTCACTAGGCTAGGCTTCTCTGGAGAGTCTTTATACCAAAGACAAAGGAGAATGGCCAGAACTGAGACCCTATAATAGCTATCTCAGTAAGAGCTCCTACTGGCACTTATCGCCCAAAGCACATAGTCTTGAGATCAGGGCAGTACTCACAATGTCCCATGACAGCAAAATACCTGTCAGTTTCCACCGGACATCCCTATGTCACAGGACAATTGCACAGTTCCTACCTTCCACCAGGCTTTATTGGCTGCAGGATAGTTACTCAGTACCAGCTTCTACCAGACACTCTACAGTGAGGGAGAGGTTAATACTTAAAATGCCACAGGACAGCTGTACCCTTTCCAGTTTCCACCAGGCACTCCTCTGTGAGACTGGATCCTTAGGTGAAGTCCCTTAGCTAGCTCCAAAGGTACTTAAGAATAGCCCCCCCCCCCCCCCCCCCCCCCCCCCCCCCAGAGCTCTGCCACAGCTGGGACCTTGGTGAACATTAGAAAACGCTGGTAGAACTGCCTCAAAGGGACTGCAGCCGCTGAGGCTGTGGAATTTCTCCAACTGGACCTGAGGGTGTGGAATTTCTCCAACTGGACCTGAGGGTGTGGAATTTCTCCAACTGGACCTGAGGGTGTGGAATTTCTCCAACTGGACCTGAGGGTGTGGAATTTCTCCAACTGGACCTGAGGGTGTGGAATTTCTCCAACTGGACAAGAACCCACCGGCAGCTCCAGACCTCAGACTAATGTTCCATTACCCCACCAATTGGGCACACATTCCCAGGGATTGGCTGGGGCACAATAAATATTCAAGCTGCTTTTTTAACTCTTCCAACCCTATGTTCTGGAAACTTCCCGAAGGCAGTAGGGAAATAGTCAAACCTGCAAGCTGTGAGATCTACAACGGCCCAATGAAATCAATAGCTGCTCAAATGATTACAAGGGAGCCAACTAGAATGAAATGTGCCTGATATCCTAGCAGGCTATCTAGGAGTGGGGTACATACTACATGCTACATACAGTCATGGCCAAAAATATTGTCCCCCTTTCCCCGCATTTATGTCAGATAACACACCACTTTGCCCAGAAAATTGCTGCAATGACAAATGTTTCGGCATTCTCGTTTTATTTCTTTTGTTTGTATTGGTAGGACACAAAAAAATGGAGAAACAAAAAGCCAAATCTGACACATTCCATGCAACACAATGGACAAAATTGTTGGCACCCTCAATTTAATATTTGGTAGCACACCCCCTTGGAAACAAATTGCTGAAATCAATGGCTTCCTGTAATTATCAATGAGTTTCTTCCACCTCTACTGGAATTTTGGAGCACTCTTCTTTCACCAACTGCTCCAGGTCTTGCAGATTGGAAGGGTTCCTTTTCCCAACTGCCATTTTGAGATCTCTCCACGCTCTGTTGGATTGAGAGCTGGCCAGTTCAGTCCTTTCCAGCGCTTTGTCTGAAACCATTTCATGTCTTTTTTGGCATTAGTTTTAACTGTATTGACTAGGGAGACATGTTCCCATGATCTGTGCTCAGTCCAGATTCACAATAAAATCCAGAAGATGAAAATAAATAAATAAAAATTCACTTTTTTTTTGTAACCTTGATTTGGTCTTTGAAGTAAATGCTTGCTGAAGAAAATACAGCTTTGGTAAATGAAGCTGCGCTGGGGCTAGCAGTGATCTTTATTTCATAGTTGTGTGATGACTTTGTAAACGGCAGTCCTGATCTCCTTGGTCTTCACACCATAAATGATGGGGTTTATGGCTGGTGGGATGAGCACATAAAAGATGGCCATTATGATGTGAATACACGGGACAATGGCACCTATCCTGTAGGTCACACAGGAGAAGGCTCCCAGGGTGTAGGACGTGAGGAAGACACAGACATGGGACGTACAGGTGCTAAAGGCTTTTTTTTTGGCAGCCTGAGAGGAGAGCTTCAATACTGTCCTCAGGATGAAGTAGTAGGACACAGCAATGAGGGTGACATCACATATAATGACAAACAGGACAACGGTCAACCCAAAGACACTGTTGATAGTGACATCGGTACAAGCCAATTTCACCACTGCCATATGGTCACAATAGCAGTGGGCAATACGGTTGGTCTGGCAGTATGGTAGTCTACTGGCCATCACTGGACATGGAGTCACTATAATGGTCCCTCTTATAAGGAAAACTGTGACTATCTTTACTATTAGGGTGCTGGTCAGCGTGGTGGTGTAATGGAGAGGGTTGCAGATTGCCACGTATCTGTCGAAGGCCATGGCCAGGAGAATTCCAGATTCAAAAGAGCTGAAATAATGAACGAAGAACATTTGAACAAGGCAGGAGAAGGAGGTGATCTCCTTGACGTTCATCCAGAAGATGGCCAGCATTCTCGGGACAACGGAGCTGCACACAATTATGTCAGCGATGAACAAAGTACAAAGGAAATAGTACATGGGGCTGTGTAGATGTTTTCCCATCATAATCAGGCTCAGCAGCAGGCAGTTCCCGATAATTGCCATCAGGTACATGAGGAAGATGGGCATGGAGATCCATACGTGAGCCGACTCGCAGCCTGGAAGGCCTTCCAAGAGAAACACACTGGGGTAGAAGATTGAAATGTTTTCTGATGACATGATGATGTTGGAGATCAGGATTTACAGTAAAGACATGGTGGTTACCTGGAAAGATAAAAAGACATTGCTGATAAACGCATGGAGATAAAAAATATAGATATTCTGCAATTTTCAGACTTTATTACTGGCCTTCTGAATATATCCAGAGGACACACTCCTTAAAACCTCAAATCACAGAAAAAAAAATTAATCTAAGTTTATCAATCTTATCTTTGAATATTGGAGAACACGGCTAAAAGTCACATGCAAGAGGTCTCCTTCAATTTACTTTCTCTTGGAGCAGCCTTTCTCAACGAGGCTTCCATGAAAACCCAAGGGTTCCTCCAGAGGTTGCTAAGGGTTCTTTGAGCAATGAGCGCTTTCTGCCTCTCAGGTACGTAACCACTGATTCCAATTTATTTTTAAAGAATTTGACTTTATTCCTTTTCAATCAAGGAAACACAGGCATGCACGAAAGAAAACATCAACGAGGCGGTACCAGAGTAACAAAAAGAAGAGTACAATAATCAACATATGAATCCGGCCCAAAGTAGCCTGTGAACTCGCGTATGAAGGAGCCATCAAAGAGAGGCAACTATACGTGAAAAATACACGCAACAATACATGCAAATCAAAATAATACAATTATATCCATCAAATCTGCTTCATCATGGGCGGTCATAAACCAAGTGAATAGATTTTAGCAGGTGGTGTGTCACGGAGGTCTCAGCAAGGATCTCGGTAAATAGTCATCAGCAAGTGCAGATCGTACTTGAAAAAAATGGTGTTCCCAAAGAAAAAAAAAGTTGCAAAGGGATGACCAAAAGGAAATGCTACTTCGAAGAGGAGAGTCGATAAACCCACAACACTGCCCACCGCCCCCCACCCAGGAGGACAGTGGACCACAAATTAAAACGTACTCAATTCTCAAGGGGAAAAAAGAACAGAAAAGAGGGAAAAGAAGGACAGAAGAAGTTGGGAGCCGAGCAAGGCCAATTATTTTTTTATTAATATATGTGTGGTCAGCGGTGGTGTCCGTGGATCTGTGTTCCGACAGGGAAGCGGGAGTCTAACGGAAAAATCCCTAGTGCAGTCGGGGTCTGGTTCCGATACAATCTGTGAGGAGGAAGATTCTTCGAGGGGGAGAGTCGATAAACCCTCAATACCCCCCCAAGGAGGAAAGCGGACCACAAATGAAAACGTACTCGTACTTTGAAGAGGAGAGTTGATAAATCCTAAACACCCCCCCGGAGGACAGTGGACCACAAATGAAAACTTACTCATTCTCAAGGGGAGTAAAGAACAGAAAAGAGGGAATAAGAAGGACAGAAGAAGTTGGGAAACGAGCAAGGCCAATTATTTTTCTATTAAGATATCTGTGAGGAGGAAGATTCATCAAGGAGGAGAGTTGATAAAACCTCAACACCCCCCCTCCCCAGAAGGAAAGTGGACCACAAATGAAAACGTACTTTTACTTCAAGGAGGGGAGTCGATAAACCCTCAACACTCCCCCCCCCCCCCAGGAGGACAGTGGACCACAAATGAAAACGTACTCATCCTCATGAGAAGTAAAGAACAGAAAAGAGGGAAAAGAAGGACAAAAGAAGATGGGAGCTGAGCAAGGCCAATTATTTTTTTATTAAGATATCTGTGGGGAGGAAGATTCTTCGAGGAGGAAGATTCTTCGAGGAGGAAGATTCTGGACGAGGAAAATTCTTCGAGGAGGAGAGTCAATAAACCCTCAACCCCCCCAAGGAGGAAAAAGTGGACCACAAATGAAAACATGCTTGTACTTCAAGGAGGAGAGTCGATAAACCCTCAACACCCCCCCCCCCCCCCCAGGAGGACAGTGGACCACAAATGAAAACGTACTTGTACTTCAAGGAGGAGAGTCGATAAAACCCTCAACACTCCCCCCCCCCCCCCAGGAGGACAGTGGACCACAAATGAAAACGTACTTGTACTTCAAGGAGGAGTGTCGATAAACCCTCAACACTCCCCCACCCCCCAGGAAGACAGTGGACCACAAATGAAAACGTACTTGTACTTCAAGGAGGAGAGTCGATAAACCCTCAACATCCCCCCCCCCCCAGGAGGACAGTGGAACACAAATGAAAACGTACTCATCCTCATGAGAAGTAAAGAACAGAAAAGAGGGAAAAGAAGGACAAAAGAAGTTGGGAGCTGAGCAAGGCCAATTTTTTTTTTATTAAGATATCTGTGGGGAGGAAGATTCTTGGAGGAGGAAGATTCTTCGAGGAGGAGAGTCAATAAACCCTCAAACCCCCCCAAGGAGGAAAGTGGACCACAAATGAAAACATGCTTGTACTTCAAGGAGGAAAGTCGATAAACCCTCAACACCCCCCCAGGAGGACAGTGGACCACAAATGAAAACATACTCATCCTCAAGAGGAGTAAAGAAAAGAAAAGAGGGATAAGAAGGACAGAAGACGTTGGGAGACGAGCAAGGCCAATTATTTTTTTTTATTTAAGATATCTGTGGGGAGGAAGATTATCTTCCCGATGACCAAATATGGAAGGAGCGTTGTTTCCAGCGACCGTCGCACCGATGTACCGTGAGTAGATATAGTAATTATTAGCAAGGGTTCCCTGATAATGGAATCCTCCATAGAAAAAGCTTGAGGAAGGCTGCCTTAGGGTATCTGATGGGATTTAGCTATCTAAAGGCTTCATTCTTACAAGAGTTCATCTATCTAGAAAACCTGAGGGCAAATATCATGGTAACCACCAAATACTGGGACTCTTAAGAGGTTCCTGCAGAGAAGAACCAGTCTCTGTTTCAAAGCTCCGAACAGGACGTAGGGGTTGTTGGGAGGATACACTGAGTGGAGCAGAAGTGTTGGTTTCTGAAGAGCCTTAAATTGGCAATTCTTTTTTATTGATGAGCTCAGGCGTCCTCCAAAATGCATCGCCAAGCTGAACTCCAAACTCCCGGTTTTTTTTTTTGTACTCCAATGAGCTACAGATCGGGTCATTCCCCACCCTGCAGATTGTGGAAGGCTGAGTTGGGGGTTAGAGATGCATTTGGAGGACACCTGAACTCATCTTTATTTTTCTTCATTACAGGAGAGCGAAGTACTTACTTTCTTTTATGCAGAGGAAATCTTATTGGTAGTTTACGTTTTTACTGCCATCTTGTGAGAGGCGCGTCTCTAACGCAAGAACTCTTCAGAACATTAGAACAGAGGAATATGAAATCATCTTTTCTCAAACTTTACACCTTGGAGGAACCCTCAAAATAGCTTGGAAGTCTAAGGGAACCCACGCTAAAAATTATTAGATCTACATTTTGTAAAATTGTATAAAATTATTTTCTTATAAAAGAATTTACATTATGGTATATATATATATATATATATATATATATACAGTCAGGTCCATAAATATTGGGACATTGACACAATTCTAACATTTTTGGCTCTATACACCACAATGGATTTGAAATGAAACGAACAAGATGTGCTTTAACTGCAGACTGTCAGCTTTAATTTCAGGGTATTTACATCCAAATCAGGTGAACGGTGTAGGAATGACAACAGTTTGCATATGTGCCTCCCACATCTTAAGGGACCAAAAGTAATGGGACAGAATAATAATCATAAATCAAACTTTCACTTTTTAATACTTGGTTACAAATCCTTTGCAGTCAATGACAGCCTGAAGTGTGGAACGCATAGACATCACCAGACGCTGGGTGTCATCCCTGGTGATGCTCTGCCAGGCCTTACTGCAACTGTCTTCAGTTCCTGCTTGTTCTTGGGGCATTTTCCCTTCAGTTTTGTCTTCAGCAAGTGAAATGCTCCATCGGATTCAGGTCAGGTGATTGACTTGGCCATTGCAGAACATTCCACTTCTTTCCCTTAAAAAAAAACTCTTTGGTGTCTTTTGCAGTCTGCTTTGGGTCATTGTCCATCTGCACTGTGAAGCGTCCAATGAGTTCTGAAGCATTTGGCTGAATATGAGCAGATAATATTCCCGAAACACTTCACAATTCATCCGGCTGCTTTTGTCAGCAGTCACATCATCAATAAATACAAGAGAAGCAGTTCCATTGGCAGCCATACATGCCCACGCCATGACACTACCACCACCATGATCACTGATGAGGTGGTATGCTTAGGACCATGAGCAGTTCCTTCTCCATACTCTTCTCTTCCCATCACTCTGGTACAAGTTGATGTCGGTCTCATCTGTCCATAGGATGTTGTTCCAGAACTGTGAAGGCTTTTTTACATGTCGTTTGGCAAACTCTAATCTGGCCTTCCTGTTTTTGAGGCTCACCAATGGTTTCCATCTTGTGGTGAACCCTCTGTATTCACTCTGGTGAAGTCTTCTCCTGATTGGTGACTTTGACACACATACACCTACCTCCTGGAGAGTGTTCTTGATCTGGCCAACTGTTGTGAAGGGTGTTTTCTTCACCAGGGAAAGAATTCTTCGGTCATCCACCTCAGTTGTTTTCCGTGGTCTTCCGGGTCTTTTGGTGTTGCTGAGCTCACCGGTGCGTTCCTTCTTTTTAAGAATGTTCCAAACAGTTGTTTTGGCCACGCCTAATGTTTTTGCTATCTCTCTGATGGGTTTGTTTTGTTTTTTCAGCCTGATGATGGCTTCACTGATAGTGACAGCTCTTTGGATCTCATCTTGAAAGTTGACAGCAACAGATTCCAAATGCAAATAGCACACTTGAAATGAACTCTGGACCTTTTATCTGCTCATTGTAATTGGGATAATGAGGGAATAACACACACCTGGCCATGGAACAGCTGAGAGGCCAATTGTCCCATTACTTTTGGTCCCTTAAGAAGTGGGAAGCACATATGCAAACTGTTGTAATTCCTACACCGTTCACCTGATTTGGATGTAAATACCCTCAAATTAAAGCTGACAGTCTGCAGTTAAACCACATCTTG